CGCTGGCTCGGCCGCCGCCGGAGCTCCCGGGCTGCCTGCTGCCGCCGCGGCTCGCCGCTGCTGTGCATTGAAGCCCGGCCAAGCGCTGCAAAAACTCCAGCTGCCTGGCGCTCTCTGGGTCCTCCTCTCCCTCCCGCCCTCCCCGCTTCCCTTCCTCCCTCCCTCGCTCGCCTCCTCCCTCCCCGCCGCCCGCCGCTCCCTCTCTGGCTCGCTCTGGCTGGCTGGGAGCTCGCGGCTGACATCTAGACCGACCGCGAGTGGCCGGCAGAGGGGGCAGGGGGCGCCTCCCCCACACTCGGCTCCAGCCGCCCGCCTCGCCGCCTCTCCCTGCGCCCCCTCAGGCGGGCACCCCCTGGTGCCCTCCGCCCTACCCGAGCGGCCGACCCGGCCGGTGGCGATGCGGGGCAGAGGGCACCCAGGTGAGGACGAGGGAGCAGCTCGCGAGCTCCGAACACGCTCCCCCAACCACCTGGGAAGGTGGGGCTGTGGGCGCTGACGCGGGAGGGACCCTCAGGTGTTCAGAGCCAGCACAAGCACACGCACCCACTCTGCACCAGCACCCCAGCAAGGCACCCCAGCTCGGAAGGTCTGAGTGAGAGCAAGTGGCCAAGGGCCCTAGAGCTTCCCCGTGATCCAGCTTGTCTAGTGGCCTCTGTGTGAAGCGTCAGGTCAAACCTGCTCCTAGGCCACCGCCTACCTGAGGGTGCCAATGTCAGGGTCGGTTCTGCAAAGAAAGGTGCTGATGGGGGTTAGCTGCGGAGGGAATGGCCCGGATGAGAGATAGGGGGCCTTACCTCTGACACCTCTGCCTAGAAGACCCCCAGACCTGCCTGGACAAGTGCCCACCCCCCAAGAGAAGGCTCCCCCTCTTCCTTACCTGGACCTAAGTACCTCCCCCAGGGTAGCAACCATCAAGGACTCCGGGACTGAGCACACTCTGCAGGAGCCCAGCCTTTGGCCTGCAGCCTCTAATCCTGCAGCCTCTAATCCTGCAGCCTCTAATCCTGCCTCAACTCATCGTTCCCCACACCCAATGCAGAAACTCCCTGCCCAGTCTGGTTCCTCGGTCAGAACAGCACAGTCTCTTCCTATCTGGTAGACATGATCGACCACCGCACACATGCTTGCCACTTCCCCTCCAGGTTAGATCTCCCCAGAAAAGGGTTCTAAACTGTGGAGATTCGGGAACCAGCGGTGAGCTGCCTCAAAGCACAAGCCCAAGGTGGCAGCACAGGCAACCAGGCAGTCACCTGGTTAGGACCTCTCCAGGTGGGGCTTCCAGAAGAAAGATGACTCAAGTCAGAGAGAGGGAGACCAGCCGTGGGCTGTTTGGTTAAAGGGTATTTCAGGAGACAGCGTGGAGCCCTGTTAGCCTCTGGTTCCCGGCCGAGCACAGCAGGGCCGGAGCAGCAAGGAGTTATTTTATTAGCTTGCCTTAATACATTGATCTGGCTCCTCTCTTCTCAGAAACCCTGGATCCCAGACTCTAGATAAAGCACACAATATCAGGTTAGTTTCGGAAGTCCAGGGAAACACATAACAAAATAACTCGATGCTGTTGCTTGGTTCTCCACCACAGGCGCAGAGGAAGCCAGGACCAAATGAATTTGAGGTTGGACGGAGGCCAGGGGAGTCAAACCAGGCACTCAGGAGGCAAAATGTAAGGTGTGCTCCCCACTCAGGCTGGTGGGAGCCGCCCCAACCCTGTCCTGGTCCTGGCCCACTTCCAGGTTTCTTTAAACTTGCTGAACACACAGTGCCATGGCAGCCCTTTTCCGGGGTGACAGCCCATGTAACCCCATGGGAATCTCTTTTGGGTTACTTAAGGAATAGGGTTCAATGAACAAGGTGTGGGGGGGGGCACAGGGGCTGGTTCTTCCACATGTCTGCTGCACTGCCACTAGCCTTTCAGGGTACACCATGAAAATTCTGAAGGGGAGGGGCAGTGAGAAAGCAGCTGGGACTAGCCCCTCAGGCATTCTTGGGTTTTTTGGGTTTTGTTTTTTTTTTATATTTATTTGTGCATACAGAACTGGGGTACAGGCTAGAGGTGCAGGGGCGGCAAGAGGACTCACCAGAGACAGAGTGGGGAGCAGAATAGGCAGATCAATGAAGTACACTGCTGAGGGGAGAAGCGTGCGGTCAGGAGAGGTCTGCCGCGCCATGTGGGTCAGCTCTGGGGCAGGCAGGAATCAAACTCATGCTGAAATGGCTTAAGCTTCTTAGTGATGCGCTTTAACCTGTTGCGCCACCAGGGAGGGCAGTTCTTGGGTGTATTTTTAATACGACTTGGATTTTGTTTTGTTTGTCGTATCCTTTGTAGCCTTTGCGTGTGCGTGCCTGCATGCGTGTGTGCGAATATTGCTAGTGAACCCACTCCCATTTTCAGATAGATGGATGGGAAGTCAAAGACCTTTTTCTATAAGGTGGCAAATAAAATGTATTTATTATGCTTTATCTCCTGCCTGGTGTGTGGTGTCATTTATTTTCATTCAGAGAAATGAACGCCATGTGGCGCCTGAAGAGCAATGAGAGAACCAAATGACAGGGAAGGAGGGAGGCAAAAAGCTGGCCCAACAATGGGGAGCGTGAGGGGCCCCTGACTCTCCCACTGGAGTTGGGGCCGAATGCCCAGACACCTTCCTTCTTTCTCCTCCCGCTTAATAACGCAGCTAGAATGTCATCGTCAGGAGGGTCAAATTAGCCACAGTGTGGGACCTGATTTGTTTTTTAAATTATGATGGCCCTTGAATTTGCTCTCTCAGGGATGAGGGGTGAGAAGGTGAGTGAGTAGTAGGGTCCTTATCCTCTCTCTGCCACCCACCAGCTCTGTCATTGGAGACAGATGGCGCTCTCTTCCAGTTACTCCTTGGAGCTAGTGAATTCAAAGGAAGACACTAGTTATTCAAGCACTCCTGTGCTTGGAAACTCTAAGGAAGTGCAATCTACAAGTAAGGATGTAGCATTGCTTTTCAGAAGAACAAATTGTTTTCGAAATGGCACAGTACATTGTGGGTGGGGAGGGCCCTTGTCTAGACCCTTCTCTGTGAATAGGCAAGTTGAGAAAGACAACCTCCAAATTGGGTTTCTGCCTTAGGTACAATCCCTCCTAGTTCTCACACATTTCCCACCCCCTGCCAGCTGGTGAGGGGCAAAGAGAGCCACAATCTCGCTTCTGCTCACCGTGGGTCTGTAAGTCACTCACTCCATCTCCATCTCCTCCTAACCCGTGCAGAGCCTGGGGGCGTCATTGCCTGGTCTCCACAAAGTCCTGCTTTCTAAGGAGGCTGTATTTGTGGCAATTTGGTTGTGGTTTATTGAGGGATTTTAGGAGAAAAGTATTGGCTCATCTCTCATGGTTGAATAAAAGGGCCAGATTTAATAGGAGCGAGGAGAAGAAGTCCTTAAGTTTTCCTTCACTTAGCTACCACCATTTTATTAGCCTAGGAACAGAACTGCTATTTAAGTTGATAAAAGCCAGATTTGCTCGTTAAATAAATCACCAGAGCCTGGTGGTGCTAGAGAGAATTTTTTTTTCCCCAAAAGCTGGCCCCATGGCTGGAATTTCTACAGTCACAGCATGCTGGAGAACAGCAGGCACCCGCAGCTTAAAAACCTAAATTGTGGCGCCACCTGCAGGAGAGCAGAAATATCAACATTATCCCAACTCGGTCTCCCACAGTGGTAATGCTGGATCACCGCAGACAGATGGAAGGACCCAACTTCCCACTGACCCCTGCTCCCCAGATGTGTCACCAGAGACCACTCTACACTCCATCGGTCTTTGATCTGCTTCCTCACTGGATGCTGCCATTTTCAGGATCCATAGCTGCTCTCAAGATTTTCTATCCATTGAAGAAAACTTATTCTTTCCTTTATTTCCTAAAGTGTTAAGTAAACCCATAATCTCTGAGTTCTGTTTGCAAGGAGACAGCCTATAAAACAGTGAAACAGGGGCCTTCCCTGGTGGTGCAATGGGTTAGGACACAGCACTGCAAGTGAGCTGCAGCCTTCAATGCGAGTTCGATCCCCACCCCGGAGGTGACCCACATGGCGCGGCAGACCTCTCCTGACCCTCCCGCTGCTCCCCTCAGCAGTGTACTTCATCTATCTGCC